GCAGATGTTGTTTTGTTGGTGGACGAAGATTTTCACATGTTCACATTCAAGATTATATTCAAAATTGATTAGCTTGCGTTGACTGTTGTTTATTTTATTTTCCATTGATTGAAAGGCCCCTGTGCGATTCCTTTCGAATCCAAATAAATCAACCAAATCAATCACATTATCCCATTACAATTTTAGCGCATTGACTATGTTATATATTTGTATTGTGCTGTCTTAGCGCATCTGCATTTTAGATGCTAAAGGTGAGAGAAATTGGCTAGCACCAACGCTAAGAGATATGAAAAATGGTAAGGTCAAGCTTGGCGCATACTAGACGCTAGGGATTTGGAGGCTCTTAGGATTCCACAATCAACTTGGTGGGTTAGCCTTAGCCAACCCAGGTTGGACTCTCACGTCTGACACATTACTTGTTTACTGGAAGTCCTCCTCCACATCTTAATAAACAAACTAATGTTGGAACACTGCAAATTACTACTTACCATTGGGTTTAACTGAGAGGGAACAAAAGTAAGAAAAATCAAGATGTAGTTGGAATTTGTCGTAATTCATCAATCAAACTAAAATGTTGTAGAAATAAGAGCAAGTGGTGTTCCTTTCCAGCCCTCCTGAACCCTTCAGTCTTCACGTTCCCTGGTCACTGGTCGGTCAGAACCAAGATCATAGGATGCTCTAATCCGTAAAGCGGATTCTTGTAATCCTATTTAGATGACGTCCACACCACTTAAAACATCTAAGCATCGACATGACATGAACTTTATTACTTTATTCTTTGAGCCGTGAGCTATAAGCCCACAAAATCTTTAAATGTATCCACAAGGACTATCACTCTGAACAATTTGCTGAGAGTTGAGGATTTTGATTTTAACTTTGAATGTACAAGATGCACAGAAGTCCTGGTTTCTGATCACAGAAATCAAGGGAAGTCTCTGCTTTCTTCAGAGGGGGAAAACTGAACAAGAAGCCCAAAAAATGCAGCCGGGTCAAATTTTGTCAAGCTGAAGCTTGCACTGATGGACCGTATCACCATTCTGTAGGTGGTGGACCTGGTGAGAAGAGCGGTGCCACTGGCCCTCGAGGTAGAGGACGACCCAAGGAGAGAAGAGCTGAGGCAGCTCCAGGAGAAGAAGGACGGCATCGACAAGCTGGCGCACAAGCAGGTCCGGCGCATCCTCTGGTCCGGCCTGGGGTTGATCATGTCCCAGATCGGCCTCTTCTTCCGCCTCACCTTCTGGGAGCTCTCGTGGGACGTGATGGAGCCCATCGCCTTCTTCACCACCGCATCCGGGCTGCTCGTCAGCTACACCTACTTCCTCGTCACCTCCAGGGACCCGACGTACCAGGACTTCATGGAGAGGCTCTTCCTGTCCAGGAGGAGGAAGCTCTGCGCCACGCACAGGTTCGACATGGAGAGGTACCTGGAGCTGCACAGGCATTGCAAGTGCCCTCTCGAAGGTCACTATCCTCCTCATGGTCCCAAGCTTCACAACTTGTAACACCTGAAGTGAAATCTCCCAGCTGGACTCTCTGGTTTGGGCAATAGGCAAATATGTAGCTTCCGAAGTGTTCGCTACATCTTTGCAGAAGTCACCAGTTACCTGCTAGATCAATCTTACAGACATACTAAAGGCTAATCTCAGTGATGTACCACTGTCATTATGCCATTATGGTTCCCTATGTTTTGAAGTTGAAAGCTACGCTCTCCGTCCCTAAATATAAGTCTTTTTAGAGATTCCAATACGGACTATATACAGAGCAAAATGAGTGAATCTACACTCTAAAATACGTCTATATAAATCTTTAGGAAGTCTTATATTTCGAAACGGAGGGAGTACTACTTATATGAGTTCCTATCTGTATTAGATTTATGTTAAATGACCAGGTTGCAACCTTTCTGAGGAACAACCATGTGACTTCTTAAATTTCCTTTACAAAACAGAATGGGAACTGCACAGCACACAAGAAAAAAAGAAAACCTGATAACGCCACAAAAACATGACAGTGCTGACAAACATACATTTATGATGTCATCAACAGAGATCAACAATCCCATCCCATAATAACAAGCGAATTGCTGCAGGCCGAGGCATTTGTTCTCTGTACACGCCGTGTAGCACTGAACATTGGCGTCCCTCAGTGTAGCTCTTGCGCAATGGGCAAAAAGAATAGCACAAAAGAATTTGTACGAAAAATGATCAGCAAAGAACTGCACTTTTGCAGTTCCAAGCTGTGCAAATGAAAAGACTCATCTGACTCTATAATAAACAGGTTTCATGATGTTGTGCTTCTGGCCTCCTAATTGTAGTGTTCTGGCAGGAAAGCATTTTAGCTTATTTTCCTTCCTGGAATTGACGCGGTGCCACCATGGTCCCCGGAGGTGCAGTCGATACATCATAAATACTGCATCCCGTTTCTCCGAAAAAATATCCCTTTGTTGAAGCAAGTTCACGCTGTTTGCTGCTTCAAATTCCCACAAATGCAGACTATGCAGTGTGTGTTACATCTCATGTCACTGCTGTTAATGTATATTGCATTCTGCCATGAACCTCTCCCCATTAGTCATGTACTTTCTCCAATAGCCCTTATAGCTGTGTATTGCCAAATCAAGCCAAGGTTTCATGACACCATTGTAGTGCAGAGTAGCCGCCTTTTCTATATCGACACGGCTAATTCCATAATCATACCCAAGTCCTGATTGAACCCATGAACCTTTCAAAGGATATATCAGGTCTTGAAAGGCAAGTAAACCTCTAGGGAGTGCTTCAAGTCTATGTGATACCGAACTATCCTGTTGGAACAACAAAAGTGAAGGTAATAATAAATACATCTGACAAGTTATGTTCTCTACAAATAATTATGACAAATGATAGTCCTAGCCATCTAGGATTACCAGAAGAAACTACACGTTTTCCCATATGTCAACAAATTAATAAGGTATACAGTTTTCTTTCGATAGGATTGTAAGAGGAATGGCAAGTTTACTGACCTTTTGAAGTGACTGATCATGCAAGCTGGTAATGCCAAGATCCCTCCATTTCTCCAATTCAATTACATTCAGACCAGAGAACCATACGCATGAATCCACGTCGAAATTGTTTTCCTCTACATAAGCTTTCAACTGACCTAATCTAACTCCACAGAACTGTACAGCACCTATTACTTTGTCTCCCATATTGAGGTTCCAAAGAGATGACAGGTCTTTCTGGACAATCATATCATCATCTAGAACAACTACTCTATTCAAGCTAGGAAGAAGATCAGGCAAGAGGAAATGTGAATGGCCAAAAACAGATATGTACTCAGTTTTCATCTGCCTCCGGAGAGGCTGAGAATGATTACGAAACGTGAAACGAAATTCCTCTGTAGGCCATAATTGTTGCCTCTCAAGAGATTCAACATCCTTAGAGAGCTTGTTGTGATCCTCAATGTTAGTCACATGAACATTAGCGTCCAAATATGAGTTTCTGTCAAACCAATGCTTCATTGCATAAAAATTCTGGGTGTCGGTGAATACATGGAAAACAACGCTGCCAGAATCCTGAAACATGTCGTAGGAAATATGTTAGCACTGAGACAAACTCCTCATAAGATTTTCAGTTATTTGGAAAGGACAGTATACCTTGGAGTTCATGGCTGTTGAATTGATAGTAGTCGAAGCTGCAAGTACATTCCTGGAGAACATTACATAGTGATAGAAGGCAGTGTCTTCATATTTCTGCTTATTTAATAGCTCCCTCTGAGGAGATACAGATTTGAAATACTCTACTGTCAATCTCATGCTCAAACAATGGTGAGTTTTTGGCATAGTCTGGACCCCGAGATGATAGAGAAATGCACTCTGCCTTGTATGGAAATAAGCTTCATCTTCAGTTAGATCAAGTAGCTGCCTAAGTTTCCGTTCAACATTGGAGCAGCCAACTTCACAAGACTTGATTCTCTCAATTGTGCCTTCCATTTTCTCTAGCTTCTTTGCGAAACTGAAAACAGTAAGCAGCCATTAGCTGACAAATAATCAACAGAAAAAGTAAAGAAAAGTAAGGTCGTACATGCCATCATTTTCTATGTTGTATACTCCATTGCTTGATACAAGGGATTTTATACATCACACAGTAATGAAAACATGATAGTTGCTACCTCTCAAATACATATTCCAAGTGATGCATATACAAGAAAACATATATCATTACAGGGAGAAAACACTTTCTTTCTTTTTTTGCGAATGGAAAACACTATATCCACATGTAGAGATGGATTCAGTAAAATTAACATCTTAATGCCTCCATACAAATTCCAGATGGCCATATACATGAGGGTTGGACATAGGTCATATTTCTGCGGGGTACCAGTCTGACTAGCAAATATGTAGTACTTCCTCTGTCCCAAAATAAGTGTCTCAACCTTAGTACAACTTTGTACTAAAGTTGGTACAAAGTTGAGACACTTATATTGGGACAGAGGGAGTACAACATATAACAAAACTGGAAGCAGCCCTGAAATCGCTAATGCTCATTTTAGCCATTATGGAGTGTAATATTTATTATAATCAGTTTAACAGATAATACTTTGCCATCTTGTTATGCAGAGGCCGGGTGTGAACTCTTTGTGGTTGTATCACCTCGATGCGACCATTGAGTCAATTAAAATCCCTCTATTGAAAAAAAGATAATATTTTAACACCAGGATAATACTCACAATGGTGGAAGATCAGCATCTGCAATGGTGTCGCTGAGCATGCGTTCATGTTCTTGGATATGTTGCTTCAACTCACGTGTAAATCTTTCCTGGTGCTTCAGTTTTGCAATACTAGGATAATAGGCTCTGGCCATAAACAGTTGATCTTTAAGCCTCTTCACAATAGCATCTTTCATCTCTTCCTTATGCTCAACAGACCAGAGGCAGTAGCTTCCATATTCAAGTTCACAGGACTTGGGATTCTCCTCTTGTGCTACTTCCTGGCCTTGGCTCTCCTTCCCATCAACAGCAGTATCCTGCCGAAAAACAAATTCAGTGTTTTATGGTAGAAAACTAGAACAGTTCCAAATGGCCCACTAGTACAAAACATACTGGACATTTAAGCAAAGATGAAAACATGTTGTGCCCCAATCTATTTAGAATTCATATCTCAGCCTTTTACGGTACCAGATTATTGCGTTGTTCGCCAGATTTGCTGCTTGATAACAATGGTTATTGCATTTGTCAAGACATCTAAAGCATAATAATCAACCAGGGATCTGATGTACAAGGTCTCCCCAGTAAATATGAAGTTCTTCAGTAATTTTTTTTATCATGGGACAAAATGGCAGTAAAATTTCTTTTAACTAACATCTTAGTAAAGGTGAAAAATGTAAATCATCCACCAAATTCCAGAGGGTGAACAGTTGTGCAATGCAATGCAGACTACGACAAAGGCGTGTATTTATTGCCACCTAATTGAAAACTCACGGTAGCAAAATATTTAATAGGCAATTTTGTGTTAGGAAAGCAACTTATCTTTATTGAAGGCCCAAGGGGCATATATATATATTACATATGACTTGAGGTGTAAGGAAACTAAACATAGATTAATAAGGACTCCTAGACCAATACTAATACTCGTATCGTGGTGTAGATTGAGGCGTGCTTGAAGCAGTGTCGGCCATGAGAGAAGGGCAGCGGCGCGAGCAAGATTGGATCGAGAGATCGAGAGGAAGAACTCGATCGGAAGGGCGAGTTGCGGCACCGAAAAAAAATAACCTAAGCTCTAATACCATGTTAGGAAAGCAACTTATCTTTATTGAAGGCCCAAGGGGCATATATATATTACATATGACTTGAGGTGTAAGGAAACTAAACATAGACTAATAAGGACTCCTAGACCAATACTAATACTCCTTAACATTTTGAAGGTGCAAAACTTTCCCCCAATAAGACAGTCTGTAACTGTACCTATATATCTACATTTAGAGCATGTTTAGCCCACAAAAACATACACTCCCTCTGTAAAGAAATATAAGAGCATTTAGATCACTACTTAAGTGATCTAAACGCTCTTATATTTCTTTACGGAGGGAGTACAAATTATTATTGACGCCACACTGAAATGCAACAATGTTCATACACATACATTTGGCATTTACCATGTGACGTCCTGAAAATCATGTCGACTGTACAACCCCATTGGTTAAGACCTTGAAACAATAGCCGTACAAACACCATGATCCTAAACAGAATTCAGTAGTCACAGGCTGACAGTCCATGTGTGGCATGCTCTCTTCCAAATATTACTGGAAAGTGAAATGCAGAAGACCTAAAAATTTGCCAACACCAGATAAAAGATAATTGTCTCTTACCATTGATCTCCATGACAGGTCCTTCAGTTGATATCTTCTCTGTGTATGAGATCCTGAAACACCATTGCATACAGTAAGAAGGACGATGGAGCGGTGTACTAATCCAAGTCAAACGTGATGGCATGCATTATATTTATTTGATCCCGCATTTCTTACCTCTCTTTTTGGATGTGTCATTGTTTAGCTCAACAAAGGAGAAAGCATCCTTGATCTTTGATTTGGCAGCAAGATTCCTGGACTTTGATCTACTAGATTTCTCACCGGAAATCCCGTTCGACCCCGAGGTTATCATTTTGGAAACATCCTGTTTATACAAGGGAAAAGGAGATTACTCATCAAATAGACAAATGAAGAGCTTTTGACAAGTTGGTTGGAACAGGCCCTTAAGTCGTACTCCCTTCGTCCCAAAATACTTATCGTGGTTTTAGTTCAAATTTCAAAGTTGAACTTTGAACTAAAACCGTAATGATTACTGCAACCAAACCAACAAAAGCTAATTTGGCAGAAGTGATGCCAAATAGATGACTCATTTGACTAGCTGTGAGAATTAGTACTGCAAACACATCTTGATTTATCTATTTTGGTATATCACTTGGGATTTGCACAACACCGTGCGTGCAAAGTTTGCATCCCCTGAGCACCACAAATCCTGTAATCCCATAACATCATCAGAGACAAATGGTGTGATGCCACGCAGCAGACCAGACCAGAATAGCAACCGATCCCTATCCTCAGGAAGCAGGTAGGTGGCGAAGCCGTCAGCAAGCAGCCCACGTCCACGAAAACACGCACGCAAGCACACGCGCATTGCATGATTGAACTCCCTAATTACTACAAATGTAATTTTTCTTTTTTGTAGAAACCAGCAGGAAGAATCGCCGCAGAATCGGGAATGGTACTCAGAAAATCTGAATGCACAAAAATGTGATGCAAAGTTGCCATCTTTTCTGTCGGCAATCCAGTAGGAAGGCGTAATTTAGGACATTGTACCTTGAGCAGCTTGTGCTTCATGCCCGGCCCGTCAAGATGCTTGTGCTTCCCCAGTCCCAGTTCCTAAAGGCAGCACAAACACCGCACAGGAAAAACCCGTCAGAAAATTCGGAAACTCCGGCAGCAAAAAATGCAGCAACCGGAGGAGGAAAATGAGGCTCAAAACATGGTGCGGGAAATCTCACGGTGCTGATGACGACGGCCGCGCGCTCCTCCGATCCGTACCCTGCAAACGCGCACACAGAATCAGCACAGATCCGCGGAGGCAACTCAGGCTACGGAGGCAGACAGGTAGAGGTGGGTTCACTGACCGATGCTGTGGAGGCCGAGGAGGAAGGCGAGTGGCAGGAGGACGGAGCAGAGCACCAGCGCCGGGACCGCGGCCGCCATGCCGGTGCAGCGGCGCTTGGCCGCCGTCGCTGGCGACAGCGGCGCCAGGTGGTGGTGGTGGCCCTTCATGCCTCGGGTCGGTACGGTACCTGCTCGTCGTGGAGACTGCTGACTGATTGGCCAGCGCCCAGCGGTAGTGGACAACGCAAGACCTGAGACTTGAGAGTGGAGACTGCTGACTGTGGAGTGAGCAGCCGACCATCTCCCTCTTCTTCTCTCTCGAGTTCCTTTCTCTCCTCCTATTGATCTTTCTTTTTTGCTTTACCTTTGGACGCCACGCCCCTATCTTCTCTGCCCCCAGTCCCCGTGGGCCACTCGCTGTCCGGTAAATTTTAGATTTATTTGGAGAGAAAATTATGAGAAAGTGTGTGAACATGGATGGGATTGAGCTGTTTCTTTTGACGGCACCATAATCATGTTGGGGAACGTTGCAGAAAATAAAAAAAATTCTACGGTTTCACCAAGATCAATCTATGAGTTCATCTAACAACGATAAAGAGGAGTGCATCTACATACCCTTGTAGATCGAGCGGAAGGGAGTCCTACTCGTCGTGATCCAAATCACCAGAGATCCTAGCGCCGAACGGACGGCACCTCCGCATTCAACACACGTACGGTCAGCGTGACGTCTTCTCCTTCTTGATCCAGCAAGGGGGGAGGAGAGGTTGATGAAGATCCAGTAGTATGACGGCGAGGTGGTGGATGCAGCAGGGATCCCGGCAGGGCTTCGCCAAGCGTCTGAGGGAGGAAGAGGTGTAGCAAGGGGGAAAGGGAGGCGCCAAGTGCAAGGTACGGCTGCCCTCCCCCCTCCTCTTTATATAGGGACCCAGGGGGGCGCCGGCCCTAGGAGACGGGATCTCCTAGGGGGGCGGCGGCCAAGGGGAGTGCCTTGCCCCCAAGGCAAGTGGAGGCGCCCCCTCCCCTAGGGTTCCCAACCCTAGGCGCAGGGGGGACGCACCAACCCACCAGGGGCTGGTTCCCCTCCCATTTCAGCGCATGGGGCCCTCCGGGATAGGTGGTCCCACCCGGTGGACCCCCGGGACCCCTGCGGTGGTCCCGGTACAATACCGGTGACCCCCGAAACTTTCCTGATGGCCGAAACTCGACTTCCCATATATAATTCTTTACCTCCGGACTATTCCGGAATTTCTCGTGACGTTCGGGATCTCATCCGGGACTCCGAACAACTTTCAGTTTGCTGCATACTAATATCTCTACAACCCTAGCGTCACCGAACCTTAAGTGTGTAGACCCTACGGGTTCGGGAGACACGTAGACATGACCGAGACGGCTCTCCGGTCAATAACCAACAGCGGGATCTGGATACCCATGTTGGCTCCCACACGCTCCTCGATGATCTCATCGGATGAACCATGATGTCGAGGATTCAAGCAACCCCGTATACAATTCCCTTTGTCAATCGGTATGTTATTTGCCCGAGATTCGATTGCCGGTATCCCAATACCTCGTTCAATCTCGTTACCGACAAGTCACTTTACTCGTACCGTAATGCATGATCCCGTGACCAGACACTTGGTCACTTTGAGCTCATTATGATGATGCATTACCGAGTGGGTCCAGAGATACCTCTCCGTCATACGGAGTGACAAATTCCAGTCTCGATCCGTGTCAACCCAACAAACACTTTCGGAGATACCCATAGTATACCTTTATAGTCACCCAGTTACGTTGTGACGTTTGGTACACCCAAAGCACTCCTACGGTATCCGGGAGTTACACGATCTCATGGTCTAAGGAAAAGATACTTGACATTGGAAAAGCTCTAGCAAACGAACTACACGATCTTGTGCTATGCTTAGGATTGGGTCTTGTCCATCACATCATTCTCCTAATTATGGGATCCCGTTATCAATGACTTCCAATGTCCATAGTCAGGAAACCATGACTATCTGTTGATCAACGAGCTAGTCAACTAGAGGCTCACTAGGGACATATTGTGGTCTAAGTATTCACACGTGTATTACGATTTCCGGATAACACAATTATAGCATGAATAAAAGACAATTATCATGAACAAGGAAATATAATAATAATTCTTTTATTATTGCCTCTAGGGCATATTTCCAACAGTCTCCCACTTACACTAGAGTCAATAATCTAGTTACATTATGATGAATCGAACACCCATAGAGTTCTGGTGTTGATCATGTTTTGCTCGCGGAAGAGGTTTAGTCAATGGATCTGCGACATTCAGATCCGTATGTACTTTGCAAATATCTATGTCTCCATGTTGAACATTTTCACGGATGGAGTTGAAACGATGCTTGATGTGCCTGGTCTTCTTGTGAAACCTGGGCTCCTTGGCAAGGGCAATAGCTCCAGTGTTGTCACAGAAGAGAGTGATCGGCCCCGACGCATTGGGTATGACTCCTAGGTCGGTGATGAACTCCTTCATCCATATTGCTTCATGCGCTGCCTCCGAGGCTGCCATGTACTCCACTTCACATGTAGATCCCGCCACGACGCTCTGCTTGCAACTGCACCAGCTTACTGCTCCACGATTCAACATATACACGTATCCGGTTTGTGACTTAGAGTCATCCAGATCTGTGTCAAAGCTAGCATCGACGTAACCCTTTACGACGAGCTCTTCGTCACCTCCATAAATGAGAAACATGTCCTTTTTCCTTTTCAGGCACTTCAGAACATTCTTGACCGCTGTCTAGTGTTCCTTGCTGGGATTACTTTGGTACCTTCCTACCAAACTTACGGTAAGGTTTACATCAGGTCTGGTACACATCATGGCATACATAATAGATCCTATGGCTGAGGCATAGGGGATGACACTCATCTCTTCTTTATCTTCTGCCGTGGTCGGGCATTGAGCCGAGCTCAATCTCACACCTTGCAATACAGGCAAAAACCCTTTCTTGGACTGGTCCATATTGAACTTCTTCAATATCTTATCAAGGTATGTGCTTTGTGAAAGACCTATGAGGCATCTCGATCTATCCCTATAGATCTTGATGCCTAATATGTAAGCAGCTTCTCCAAGGTCCTTCATTGAAAAACACTTATTCAAGTAGGCCTTAATGCTGTCCAAAAGTTCTATATCATTTCCCATCAAAAGTATGTCATCTACATATAATATGAGAAATGCTACAGTGCTCCCACTCACTTTCTTGTAAATGCATGCTTCTCCATAAGTCTGCATAAACCCAAACGCTTTGATCATCTCATCAAAGCGAATGTTCCAACTCCGAGATGCTTACACCAACCCATAAATGGATCGCTAGAGCTTGCATACTTTGTTAGCATTCTTAGGATCGACAAAACCTTCCGGCTGCATCATATATAGCTCTTCCTTAAGATAGCCGTTAAGGAATGCCGTTTTGACGTCCATCTGCCATATCTCATAATCATAGTATGCGGCAATTGCTAACATGATTCAGACGGACTTCAGCTTCGCTACGGGAGAGAAAGTCTCATCGTAGTCAACCCCTTGAACTTGTCGATAACCCTTAGCAACAAGTCGAGCTTTATAGATGGTAACATTACCATCTGCGTCCGTCTTCTTCTTAAAGATCCATTTGTTTTTTATTGCTTGCCGATCATTGGGCAAGTCTGTCAAAGTCCATACTTTGTTTCATACATGGATTCTATCTCGGATTGCATGGCTTCAAGCCATTTGTTGGAATTTGGGCCCGCCATTGCTTCTTCATAGTTCGAAGGTTCACCGTTGTCTAACAACATGATTTCCAGGACAGGGTTGCCACACCACTCTGGTGTGGAACGTGTCCTTGTGGACCTACGAAGTTCAGTAGCAACTTGATCCGAAGTACCTTGATCATCATCATTAATTTCCTCTCCAGTCGGTGTAGGCACCACAGGAACATTTTCCTGAGCTGTACTACTTTCCGGTTCAAGAGGTAGTACTTCATCGAGTTCTACTTTCCTCCCACTTACTCCTTTCGAGAGAAACTCTTTTTCCAAAAAGGATCCGTTCTTGGCAACAAAGATCTTGCCTTCGGATCTAAGGTAGAAGGTATACCCAATGGTTTATCTAGGGTATCCTATGAAGACGCATTTTTCCGACTTGGGTTCGAGCTTTTCAGGTTGAAGTTTCTTGACATAAGCATCGCATCCCCAAACTTTTAGAAACGACAGCTTAGGTTTCTTCCCAAACCATAATTCATATGGTGTCGTCTCAACGGATTTAGACGGTGCCCTATTTAAAGTGAATGTGGCTGTCTCTAGAGCGTATCCCCAAAATGATAGCGGTAAATCGGTAAGAGACATCATAGATCGCACCATATCCAATAGAGTGCGATTACGACGTTCGGACACACCATTACGCCGAGGTGTTTCAGGCGGCGTGAGTTGTGAAACGATTCCACATTTCCTTAAGTGCGTACCAAATTCGTGACTTAAATATTCTCCTCCACGATCTGATCGTAAGAACTTTATCTTTCGGTCACGTTGATTCTCTACCTCATTCTGAAATTCCTTGAACTTTTTAAATGTCTCAGACTTGTGTTTCATCAAGTAGACATACCCATATCTACTTAAGTCATCAGTGAGAGTGAGAACATAACGATATCCTCCGCGAGCCTTAACGCTCATTGGACCGCACACATCAGTATGTATGATTTCCAATAAGTTGGTTGCTCGCTCCATTGTTCCGGAGAACGGAGTCTTGGTCATTTTGCCCATGAGGCATGGTTCGCATGTGTCAAATGATTCATAATCAAGAGACTCTAAAAGTCCATCAGCATGGAGCTTCTTCATGCGCTTGACACCAATGTGACCAAGGCGGCAGTGCCACAAGTATGTGGGACTATCGTTATCAACTTTACATTTTTTGGTATTCACACCATGAATATGTGTAACATCACGTTCGATATTCATTAAGAATAAACCATTGATCATCGGGGCATGACCATAAAACATATCTCTCATATAAATAGAACAACCATTATTCTCGGATTTAAATGAGTAGCCATCTCGTATTAAACAAGATCCAGATACAATGTTCATGCTCAAACTTGGCACTAAATAACAATTATTGATGTTTAAAACTAATCATGTAGGTAAATGTAGAGGTAGCA